AGGATTACCTTAGTGTTTCTGATGACCTGTTCTGCCTCTCAACCACTGAGCCTGCCTGTTCCTGTCTGATTTGTTTGCCTGACCTGTCTTTGGACTCCTACTGGATTCTACATGTTTACTGAACTTGTAGCTGCTTCCTGTCACCGACCTGGATTTCCCTTCGGAGCCTCTTCGGACTTCTGATCTCGTGGTTCTGAACCCTGAGCACGTCCTCACCGGTTTTGGCTTCGCTGTCTGGATTATTCTGCCTTCCTTCGTCTGGCCAGGTATGATCTCCTGCCGTCCTGCTAAAAGCCGACCGATTGGAATCTGCCTTTTCCTCTGGACAGACTTAACTTTAGAACCAGGTTAGTGACTCACATATCCATAATCTTTCTACGCCAGATTCACAAGTGTTTAACCGTGTTTCCTGCCTCAGACACCCTAGCTGCTCACTGCAGATCCAACGTTTTTGAATAAACACTTGAATACTGGGTCTTCTGCTCTGAGCCTTGACAAATATGGGACAGCATTGACAAAGTAAGCAGGTTAACAATCCATAAACTGGTCAGGAAGACCAAAAGCAGTAGTGGCTGGAATATTTTCAAAGGGATTTTCCGTAAAACCATGTTCTGTAAAAAGAAAGTGCCTGAATCATGATGTGTTTTACATTCACCATGTTGCTAAAGTCCTCCAACTGACCCAACAAAGTGGTTAAATACTTTATCCAAGTTTATTAGAGTTTGCAGAAAGATTTATGCTAAATAAATCAAACAAAGACCCCCCAGAGTCACAAACAGGAAGTAAACCAACCACACCTGGCATCTTAAAAACGTCAAAACTCGCACAAGTTTTGCTGAAGGGGATTTTTTCTCCCCCCCCATCTCAACACAACACGTTCTCACCTTGGAGGCTGAATGATTATTACATTCTGTAACTAAAGTTAAAAAGTTTAAGTTGTTTAACACGTGTTATGATATGAAAACAACTACTCATTGCAGGATTTTGTGTTTATGTGCAAAAATGGTAGTTCTCTGCCCCTTGGGTTTTCACATCACACTTTTTTTTCTCACTTCCTTAATGGCATGTATGGTACAAAGTTTAAACAATGTAACTTTAACATGTTAACCTTGGTCCTATTTTTGAAACCAAACAACAAAGATGAGCAACATATTTTTGATTAAAACTTTAATTTGAAAATATGTTAAATGTTTTTTACTTCTATATCAGAGGGAACATGCTTAGACTTGTAGTGCTTCAATCATCAGCAGATATACTGTAACAAAGTGCCTTTTTTTTTATTAATTTAAACCCTATTCAATGAAAAAAAAAAAACTTTTTCATAGTGTGGAAACTTCCAAATCCAATTGTGCCGCAGGGTTTTTGCACCCTTTTTGCAAATTGACGGTAAGGTATCAAACCTTTAATATGTCACTAAATTTATTTTTCATTTGATATTAATGTATTATTCTGACCAGTCAAATATTAAGTTTGTTGAAAAAGAAAGAGAGATGCATAGATTCAAACTAAAATACTAATATAGTAATAAAAAAATAAATAAATACAATAAGTAGAGATATAGTTACATAGAAACTACCTTAGTAAATGTAAAATTTAGAAGTGCAGGTTGTTTATTTATCAAAACAGAGTAAAAAGATAAACCTTTCTCTTTGCAAATGCTTATGCAACGCTTAGACTGCATGCAGCAGAGGCAGCAGAAGCAGCTAGTTTACTGTACATGCAAAGTACTATATATAGGAGGGGGAGACATAGGTTGTTTCAAGCCTAAACCAATCTATTATTATCATTCCTCCTTAGCAGAACTAGACTGTAAATCTCTTCTGACTCCAGCTCATTAAACACAATCAGTAGGAAAAGATTTAAAAAGATGCCAAAGAACAAAATGCACCTCCTCTTAAGACCAAATATAGATAATGCAAAACAGCTTAATTGAAACAGGATAAAAATAATCAGAGATGAACATTTTCCACCACAGAGGTGTAGTCAAAGTAAAGTAACTGTGCTAAAATGCTCAACTAGATGAGAGTGAAACCTAACCTTTATACTTGCATGCAAAACAATGTAGAAGAGTGTAGAACAAAACAAACAGAGCAGAAATGAAAGCTGGTAAGAGTTGATGCGAAGATGCTCCGAGCTCAGCAATCAGAATCAAAGCTTTGTTGCTAAGTAGTGTTTTATATCTATAAGTAATTTGTTTTTAGTGATATGCATAAACAAACATGCAGTTTGGGAATATTCCTGAAGAAAAGTTGTCAGATGCTGTAAAAAACATGGAGAATTTTGGCAGTAAATGGTTAAAACAAAGCATTAACTCAAGAAATTTAAATATAAAACCACTTTCAATCAAACTTTTTATTTGATCAAGTTTTTAAGAACGATTATTTTTTTATCTTTTTTCGGAATGTTTCTTTGTTTTGATATCTCTGATAATATTCCACTAGGTTTAATAGCTCTCACTATCTTTGACTTGCACTTGGTGTAGGCATGGAGAAATCGTCGTTAGTAGAAGGAAATTTAAACTAGGCTTGTTAGCTGTTTAAAACTAGATTATTATTATTACCAGTATCTAAAAAGCAATTTTGATTATTGTAACAAACATAATATATCATTAAAATATTGCAGTTTAAAAGTACTTCAAGCAGGTGTTAGACATAGATTTAAATAAGCAACATTTCTGAAGAAACTGTTTTTATTGGTTTCAATTTACTTGTTTTATGCTCTTTAATCAAACTTTAAATGAATTAAAATCAAACTGCATTGGGAAAAACAGACTGAACGTGACAGGCGACAGGTAGCAGTTTTGTTTCCTACAGATAACTCTGCACACATCCTGTATGGATGTTTTTTTTATAACAGAATCTTAATAGTAAAGATGTGTTTTTCTTGAATTTGTTATAAAGTTCTTGTGTTGAAAAAGATCAAACTATACAAACTGAGTTATCAGAATGGCTCCAAAACATTTCTTTTCAATTTACTTCAAACATACTTCATCAATCTCAAAGGGAAATTAAATGCTGCAATAACTCATGTTTTCTTTTTTTTTATTGATGTTTATATTGCTATAGGCAGGAAGGATCTTCTGTAGTGGTCTGACTTACACCCGATCTGGAGAAGACTCTGACTGAAGACTCTGTTGTTTTTTAACAATCCTATGAGGAGGATGCTCACTGTTGTCCTCAATGTTTTTTACTTAATGAGGAATCTATGTCTGAACTGATGTTCACTTCAGAACAAGATACATGGATACGCTCTGATTCATCATCCATTTGAAAGACCCTTTGAGTCCAAGCTTTAGTGTCTTTGTTGACATGCTGAGATGCTACCGTAATGATCTCTGGGGTGTGACACAGAAGGTTCATCATGGAAAGGAGTAGATGTTACTTTTATTGGACTGGGCAGCAAAATAGGCTAAATGGCATCCCACTTATCTCTCTTCCCCTCATCATAAAATCCACAAAAGCATTTAAAATTCTGAATTCAAACTGGCCAACAAACCCATCCTTCCAAAAAAGGTAAGAAAAAACATGCTTTGAATATTCAGAACATTAAGTGTTATCAATTAGTAATGAAATATAAAGCAAGCATTTCATGTACAGACATGAAGTTCTAAAGTTATTTCATATTTCTCTAAGTTACTTTGAATTTCTGCAAAGAACCGATCTATGAAATCTCAACTCTGCTACAGAGGAACTAGTATAATCAACAATGGTGGATAAAACCAATAACACTACCCTGCTTAAAACAAGTAAAAACAATCCAGGAATTCAAATGTTATCTATTATAGAATTTGTAATTAGTTTAGTTTTAGATCATTTACTTTTTTTTTTGTTATAACTTAGTGCTTCTTAACACTCAGGATGCTGTTTTGTGAAGTGCAACAGTTTCTCCTGGGGCAAAAAGACCAACAGAAAATTAATTCTGCCACCTGTGTACTGCACTGATAAAATGCTGTTCTCAGGGTCTAAAGCTTCCCTCTGATTATTTGCAAAATTCCTTTTCATGTCATTCCTTATATCTGCGATGTTGATCTGTACATATGCCTTCTAACAAACTGAAAGGTTAAAGTTAACCCATTGGTATTACCCACTCTGACCCGACCCACTGTGAGTGGTAGTGATAAACATGTAAGCCAACAATAATGACATAATACAGCATTGCGGGTCAATTTTGATATAGTAAAAAGCAAATAATGAAGTTATAGCTGTTCAGTTCCTGCATCAAGATAGAAAGAAAAAATGTATTATCTGTCTGTTGAATCTAAGAAATACTGAATATTATGGATAAAATGCAAATAGTGTGCTAAGGTTGCTGGCAATAAGCTATATTACTAAAAAAAAGTTTGACTTTACCAAGTCATTTAGCTCTGAAGAGTAATAATATTTAATTTAACTTTACTGATCTCATATTGGAAAAATATACCTCTGCATTTAACCCATACCCTTGGGGAGCCGTGGGCTGCCATCGTGGGGCGCAATCAGGGTTTAAGGGTCTTGCTCAGAGACCCAGAGTGGCAGTCTGTGGGAGTGGGGCTCGAAATCAGAACCTCAGGATGCCAAGCTTTATGCCCAAACCACTAGGCCGCCACTCCCCTAAGTAGGTGAACATCTCTTCTGTTATTTTGGCATTGAGCAAACCACAACCCAACTGACTTAAAACAGGATTAAACTGATAAATATGGCTGTACTCTGGTTTAAAATGGTTCTTCCATTAACGATGAAAAAAGGGTTTTCATACTTTCCTTTTTTGATCACAAAAATCCGACTTTGACCAGAGTTTTTTTTAATATGCATTGGACAGTTTAACTTATTTTCATTTTCAACATTTGTGTCTTTTTTTCCAGTAGAATATACAACTGCAGAAGAAAACTGTGTCTTCGTGTATCGCCCACATTACGTCTATTAGCATTTATGGTCTATGTTGAACACATCTACCAAAGACCCCATGATAGCAAGCAGGAAGTAAACTTACCACATGTGTTGTAAAACCCAGTACGATACAGAGGTGGACGGTACATCAGGACTCCAAGATGATCTCTAACAGCTTTAAAGTCCTTTTGATTGTCCTGATGTCATCTGCACTCCTTGTTACTCTGGATGCTGGTGGTAAGTGAACATAACTACTAAACACAGCAGCACTAGATTGTATTTAGTTTATATAAATCTTTAAGATTCAGTGTAAATACGCTTTTCTTGTTTTTTTTTGTTATATACATATGAAATTAAGTAAGAGCTAGATAAAGTGCATGGATAGAGATCATTTCAATGGGTTTAAAACATACTAAAGGTTGTTTTTATATCAAACAGAACCTTGTTACACTTCCGGAATTGAGCAGATGATGTATAAATCAAACTGGGCAACCCTTACACTTAAAATAATAAAACATCAACAAAAAAAAATCCTGCTTTAATTTCATGTATCAACATTTTTTATGAAGAGATATTAACCAACAGTTGCTGTCACTGTTTCCCATCTTGCCATATTTGGCAATGTCTTGAGAACATTAGGGTGGTCTTAAGACCAGGAAACCAAGGCGACTATTTTTATCTTCCGATGCATTTTCATAGATCAGCTTTAAGGGGTACACAATGTTAAACTTTAAAAAGTCTTGTAGCTACTTTCCTACCAATGTAATCTCACCATCTTCGTGTAATTCCATATTTTTCAAATACATTTTTTTTTTCCTGAAAGAATCAGTTGGCCATGTCTAATTTTAATCTGAGATAATTTTTCACGGATTTAATATTATGAAATCGTTACAAAAATCCCAAGAATCCAGTATCCCGATGTGAGCAGAAGGTTTTCTTAACACACCAGGATGTTGAATATTGTTATTGGATGAAAATTTTGCAATACTTGCATCACTGTTGTCTGTACTCTATAGCAGTGACGCACCTGTTCAGTTTAAATGTACAGTGAGAGTCAGCACTATATTATGGCATTGGCAGGTGTTTACCAATTTCTTGATCTTATTATACTAGTTTTGTTTGTATGTTCTTAAACATGTCCTATTTGCCAAATATAGTACTAAGAATTGACATTCAGGTGCTGGTTCCTAGCCCAACATATTTTGTTTCCCAACTGGACCATTATGGCCATCGCCATTAGGCTTCAACTGATAATTGTGTATGAGAAATTAATAAGATATGATAATTAAGGGAAGAGAGCAACAAAAAAGGTGCTAGAGAAAAAAACAAATGGAGAATCAACGAGATAAAGAAAACACAAAAAATACACAACATCTCCTGGAAGTCTGCTTTCACACCTGTAAAAAGTCAGTCTTTTCATTTATTTTGTTTTGTTCATAAAAACTGGTCCTAGAAAGAGGGGGTCGTCTTATAATCAGGGTTGCCCTATATTCTGGTCATTATGAGCTTAGTATTAAATATAAATGTCTCGGTAAAAACCTGGACCCAAACGTCTGTGGTGTGTGAATGTGATTGTGTATATAAGGTTAAAAATGCAACACAGCAGGAAGATACACTCAACATGTCATGGTTTTGGTTCTGTATTCCTGGATTTTGGCTTCCGTTACCCTTTTTGTTATCAAATCTTCAACAAACCACTTCAGCTTTTGTGTTTGCATTTGGGTCCTGTCAAACTTCAACCCACTTGGCAGGAGTGACAGGAGACCAGAGCCCTAGATATCCAAAGACAGCCAAGAGTAAATTAACACAGGGAGGGTGGAGACAGGAACAGCAACATCCTATCAAGTTTGGCAGACGGGAGCCCTGGGGCCAGACCCCATAGGCTATAGTGTTCAAGTCCCAAATGGGCTGCGGCAATGAGCCCAAGGGCTCCATTGGCAGCCAGTAACACTCAAGGCAGACCCAATTAGACTTCTCTGTGTTTAAAACTAGGTAGAGGGTAGGATTGCTCCCCAGATCTCGCACACAAAGCTTGTAATGTCCAAATGCATCCCAACACGAGTTGGGCACAAGGATTGAAGTCAAAGAAAGCTAAACTGACCTGCCTCCAGTGCCCCAAAGATGCGCACCTCAAGGACCTATATGTGCATGCCTTGATATTTATGATAATCATTAAAGTGATAGGGACACCCACCCCAGTGATGTTCTGCTCCCAATGTGTGGTTGTGTGACAGAGTAGGCGACAGGAGACATCTGGGAATGGGGAGTAAAGGACTAGTGAACAGGTGTTCTACCAGGGATCCCCCTCCACCGCTGAACCCAATAGGGGCCTCGTTTTCCACCTTCCACTAGTGGAGGAGGACACCGACCCAACCAATTGTATCTCTAATCTCCTTTGACAACTTTTTTCTTTGCTTCCTCTGGTCCATGTTGAGTGTGGTATACACCATGTCACCAAACAGCACAGTGAATACCTCTGACCCTATATATAGGCCCTCTGATTTATTACATATTGTAGACACATGTGATGGTAATTGGTGGACACATCTTGATTAAATATGTCCCTTTGGTCTCTTTTCTAAGGATACCACCATTTTTTGTCCAGACCTATTTCATGTGCTTATTTTGCAAAAGCATTCATTGATGCAAGGATGGAAAGCATTGTCTGACTTTCATTTGTTCATTTTCATAGAACTTGTATGCATTACTATTGTTGTAAGGTAAAAGTTATTTTTGTGAATACTGGGGATTTTTGTTTCATTAAACAACGGGTACCAGCATTTTTGTCTATTTGTGTTTATTGGCAGAATTCATACTTGGTGGAAGTTTATGTTATTTTATTCGGATTCCTGCAGGATTCAATGGATTGTCAATCCAAGGCATTCCAGATTTCTATATAGAATTATGGTAAAAGTCAATCTGGGTCAGGAGGCTTTTTGCTGGGTATGCTTTTGAGAGCTTCCTAGATTACATCTATTGTTTTTAGGGTTAGGGCTTTTGTTATTAATATATCAAAGTAAGTACCAAGGTATGTAATCTTGTATGTAATTTTTTGATTCTCTGTTTGTCTCCTCCTTCAGGTAAGGACTGCACAACAGAATTACCAGTGCCGCAAAACACCAATTATGAAGCGATTATTGGACAGAAACTTTGGATTGAATGTCCAGTCGTATTCTGCAGTAACACACCACCAACAGTTTACTGGTATAAAATTGAGGAAAAACATGTTCGTCTTGCTGCCAACAATAGAAGTCACATTAAAATAGGGTGGGAGCAGAAAAAGCCTCTAGAAGGGGTCTTATACCTTTTCTTCGAAAAGATCCTCAGGAGTCACTCTGGAGGATATCGATGTCGAAGTGGAAGCAGTCTGAGCCATCTAATTAAAATCACAGTTATTGGTGAGTATTTGGAGCACATATTGGGAATGAGATTGGTGGCTATTTCCCATTGAATACTAGGGAGGCTAAACCTTCACTGTAGAATTCATAAATGTACTGTAGTCATTAAACTGCATTAAATATGCACTAAAATGCACCTGATTTCATGAGTATGTTGCGCATTAATCATCTGTTGGGACTGCTCTCGGACACAATCTACCTTCAGAGAAAGTAGAGCCCTGATTGGATAACATGCCAAAATTCGTCCTTTCTAGTGAGGCTAAACCTCTTGGAGGGTCTGTGGGAGGGGGTCGTGCAGCTGGCTGCTTGATGCTGATTGGCAAACATACTGGCCAGACAGTGTGGAGGTTTTCCTCATGAGACCAGAAGAAAAAGTGATCATTCAATCAGTACAGCAGGTGTTAAATGAACTCTTGCCCTGCCTTCTGGAGTTTATTATTTCATGGAGGGAGAGGCGGAAAGTGGTTAGGGCAAAGGGATTGAAATCCCGAAGTTCGCAGTTCGAGCCCCACTCCCACAGACTGTCACTGTGGGTCTATGAGTATGACCCTTAACCCCCGATTGCTTCCCAGGTCCTGCATGATGGCAGCCCAATGCTCCCCAAGGGGATGGGTTAAATGCAGCGGTAAATTTCACCCATGTGGGATCAATAAAGTTCATTATTATCAATTATTATTACAACGCCCATTTTCAGCCATTGTAGTAACATGTTTATGTATTTCAACATATGCAATACTTGAGGTCTGGATATAATTTACACCGTTGAGCCTCTCCTGTTTCAGAGAGCAGGGGATCAGATGTAGTAAACTCTTTGCAGTTTTATTACTGAAAGCATCAATATGCATAAACAGCAAAATCTGCAATTGAACCATGTGTCAAATCTTTATCTGTTAGCTTTTTTAATTTGTAAGTCTAAAATTATTTTTACATACAGTGCTGGAACTTAAATAAAGTTCTACCATTTCAAAACAAGTTTGGTACGTTCTCAGTCTGATCTTGCATGGGAAGCATTGGATGCCGTAAACCCTCTGAAAATCTTTGTGGAGGATGTGAAGCTAGAGGGCTGCAGATTTTGTGCTTTTTTTTTTCTCTGTAGAGCCTTTCTGACAAATGCATGGTAGGAAGATAGAATTATCTTCAATTAGCTTTTTGTGTCTATTTATTGTTTATTAATTGGTTACTGCAATGTATCCCATAGGATTTGTTTCATAATTCAGTTTTCCAAATCTAATGACTATACAAATTGTTACTTATATGTCAATCTTAATCATAAATATCCAACATACTTTTCAAGTAATACTGAGCTCAAAATAAGACCCAGCTTATAACTTTGGACAAGTTCCTCCTCAGATTTTATTCTCCAAATTCCTCCTCATCTGCTTTGTATTGTCTGTCAAAAACATAACAGGACATTCTCTGATTCTAATTTTATGTTCTGTTTAATCTTGCAGAGTGTGGTGATGAACCTCAGGATGTAGTCTGGCTATACATGTATCGTGTTTTTGGATTCGGGGGGGTTTTCATCACAGTGATTTCCATATGTGTCGTATCAAAAACAATGCTTAAAGGTAAGACCTTTATCAGCTCATTTACTGACACATAAAAGATTAAAAAATTAAGCAAAAGTAAATGATAATGGAGTAATTGATGATGTTTTATATCTATTTTGCAGGAAGATGCAGAAAGACAGCAGATCCAATTCCCCAGCCTTCTGATGAAGTCACTGAAGATAATCTGCTCTGATTTCAATCCGCGGAGATCTATCAATAATATTAGTGCTATTGTAGAAAATACTTGATTAGCTGCTGAGCTTTGATTTTTTGACCTTTCAGACATTTATTAGAAATAAATCAAATAGAAATTTGATTGCAAAGTAGTTATTTTTTTCTCTCTGTATCAAGGTATTGACGCCTAATGGGTTAATCCCAATCCATGCCAAGAAATGTTCCATTTTGCAAAGCAGGTTTTGTTATGTATTTGATGTATGTTTCTTTTTCAGAATTAAATGTCTCTACTCAATGTTTGGCCTCTGTCAGTCTCTCTGCATCCAGTTGCTAATCCAAGCTCTATAGTCAAAACAATATTGAATTTTTGTATCTGATATCTCAGAGAGAAAATACTTGACCTGTTTTATCGTTATGAAAGTAAAAAAGTAGAACTGCTAAAGCAGAAATGTGTTGTGTGTTATTGGAGAACTTTTATGTAGTCATCAGCAGATACAACTAAATACATTTTTTAATTAATTAAAACAGACTTACAATAAAGAAAGCATTAAGCTTTTATATTTAGTGCCAATTTGTAAATCCTACAGCACTGCATGGTATCTGCATGTGTAATGGATGCAACTGAATCATTTAAGTTGCCATAATCACATAAAAATTAAGATTGTTGCAAAAGAAGCTTGCAGGTATGCAGATGTAAATTAAACATTGATATAGTAATACAACAAACTTTAACCAAGAGTAAGTTAGATAAAAAAGGGAATATTCTTTATTCTCCCCCAGAGGAAAATTACTTATTCGTTGACAAGCTTCTCCATCCAAGGTGTTAAATCTTAAAAATAAATAAGATAAAAAATACATAAAATATGATAAGCATGCACAAATAAATGTATTAATCTGTTAGTAAATCCAGACCTAATTCAAGAGTAAAAATATTTTTTTTGGGGGGGAAATCTGGTCATTGTACAGCAACTTAAATAAAATTTCTGAAAATCATAATCCTTTGAACCTGGATGCAATACACTATACAAGTGCACTGAAGAAAGAATACAGCTGAAATAGGGAAACAGGGAAACTGAATAGAACTCAATAAGGACAACTGAGGAGGAAAACTTGTCAGACACTGCAAAAGACTTGCAAACATTTAGCTGTAAATTCAGCCAAAATATTCCAACTATTGACTAAGGAATACAAATGTATAACAACGTTTAACTTCCATTTTCTCAAAGAAAATAAAACATTTTCAAAATGATTACTCTAATAAAATCCCAACCACAACAAGTGTATCAGATCTTACTACCTTTGAATTACACTTTGTGTGAGCAGGAAGTAAAACATTGTTAGTGGTAGGAAGTTAAAGATTCTAACCAAAAAATGAGCCTGTCTGCTGTTTTAAACCTACATATTTTCCGAAAGGCAATTTTGATCAATTTTAACAAACATATAACGTATAACAATTATCAACAGATTACTATTGAATGTGTTGCAGTTCAACAACAATTCTTAAAAGAACAAAACCTTAAGCATTTAATGCAGTTAATTTCAATCAAGCCAATTTAATTGGTCTGATGTAATATTATATTCCTATTTGCTGTGTTGGCATTAACTTTAAACTGAGAAATCAGCTTAAAGTTAAAGCTAAATCACTGCCCAGTGTCAACACTCCACTGTGGAGTGGAAAAACACCCTCTTAACAGGAAGAAACCTCCAGCAGAAACAGGCTTAGTGTTAGCGGCCAGCTGTCGGGTTATCTGGGGTTCAAGAAGACAGATGCAGAGATAGACAAAGAATCAGAGATACAAGAGGCCCCGTTACTTTCTACATCCATGCTAACAAACTTCTCACAGGTTTGAATTGGTGATATACACTCACCAGCCACTTTATTAGGTACCCCATGCTAGTAACGGATTGGACCCCCTTTTGCCTTCAGAACTGCCTCAATTCTTCGTGGCATAGATTCAACAAGGTGCTGGAAGCATTCCTCAGGGAGTTTGGTCCATATTGACATGATGGCATCACACAGTTGCCGCAGATTTGTCGGCTGCACATCCATGATGCGAATCTCCCGTTCCACCACATCCCAAAGATGCTCTATTGGATTGAGATCTGGTGACTGTGGAGGCCATTTGAGTACAGTGAACTCATTGTCATGTTCAAGAAACCAGTCTGAGATGATTTCAGCTTTATGACATGGCGTATTATCCTGCTGAAAGTAGCCACCAGAAGTTGGGTACATTGTGGTCATAAAGGGATGGACATGGTCAGCAACAATACTCAGGTAGGCTGTGGCGTTGCAACGATGCTCAATTGGTAGCAAGGGGCCCAAAGAGTGCCAAGAAAAGATTCCCCACACCATGACACCACCACCACCAGCCTGAACCGTTGATACAAGGCAGGATGGATCCATGCTTTCATGTTGTAGACGCCAAATTCCGACCCTACCATCCGAATGTCGCAGCAGAAATCGAGACTCATCAGACCAGGCAACGTTTTTCCAATCTTCTATTGTCCAATTTTGATGAGCTTGGGCAAATTGTAGCCTCAGTTTCCTGTTCTTAGCTGAAAGGAGTGGCACCCGGTGTGGTCTTCTGCTGCTGTAGCCCATCTGCCTCAAAGTTCGACGTACTGTGCGTTCAGAGATGCTCTTCTGCCCACCTTGGTTGTAACGGGTGGTTATTTGAGTCACTCTTGCCCGTCTATCAGCTCGAACCAGTCTGGCCATTCTCCTCTGACCTCTGGCATCAAAAAGGTATTTCCGCCCACAGAACTGCCACTCACTGGATGTTTTTTCTTTTTCGGACCATTCTCTGTAAACACTAGATGGTTGTGCGTGAAAATCCCAGTAGATCAGCAGTTTCTGAAATACCAGCCCTTCTGGCACCAAAAATCATGCCACGTTCAAAGTCACTCAAATCACCTTTCTTCCCCATACTGATGCTAGGTTTGAACTGCAGGAGATTGTCTTGACCATGTCTACATGCCTAAATGCACTGAGTTGCCGCCATGTGATTGGCTGCTTAGAAATTAAGTGTTAACGAGCAGTTGGACAGGTGTACCTAATAAAGTGGCCGGTAAGAGTATAATTTCCTGTATAACTTTGTATCTCACATGTTTTGATAAATACTTCCTATTATATTATCCTATTGCTCAGTTATTAAGTGTTTCCTAAGATATTGATCTCATTGTTGAGATCCTACTTTAAGTCATCTCTTACATCTGGTTGTCTCATGCTGCAGGGGAGGACTGCGCAACATAAATACCAGTGTTGCAAAACACACATTATAAAGCGGTTACTGACTTGATTTACTATCCAGCTGTATTGTGCAACAATACACCACCAACAGTCTATTGGTATAAATTGAGGAAAAACTTGTGTGCCATTAAAATGGGGTGGGAGTATAGAAGGCCGCTAGAACCTTTCCAAAAAAATCCTAAGAAGAGTGCATCAATCTGGAGGATTTAGTGTCGAAGTGGAAGCAGTCTGAGTCATGTCATCAAAATCATGGTTATCTGTGAGTTTAACTGTGAAAGTGGAAAAAAATTCTGCATTTGAACACTCTTCTAGTTTTTTAGCTGTGCGTATTTAGTTTTTAAGTCATACTAAATTGGCTGCTCATCAAATCTAGTATTAAGCATAGATGTCCAGTTCTAACTGATTTATAAGCTGTGCTGAAACCTGAGCACATTTTTAGCATTTCAAAATAGGCTCGGTATGACACAGGCTGCTCTCACATAGGAAGCATTGGATGCTGTAAACCCCTCTGAAACCCTTTGTGGAGGATGCGGTGCTAGATAGTGCTGTTCTGTTTTTTGTTTTTCACTTGGTACGGCTGCTCTGGCATGTGCAGACAGTTTGATCATCTTTTGTTCCTATTTATTGCCTATTCACTGCCTACTAAAATGCATCACAGACAATTTGTATGTAATTCAATTTTCCAAAAATAATGAGTATATATCTGGTTACTAAAGCTTCAGCTGCAATCATAAATATTTAACCTGCTTTTTTAGAAAATACTGAGCTCACAACAACACCAAGTTTTCACATTTGGACAAGTTCGTCCTCAGGTTTTAACCATCATAGTGCTTTTCATAGGTGTCTATCAAAGACAAAGGTAAAGCTTAAAGGTAAGACTTGTCTATGCATATTACTAACTTAAAATATATATATAAATAAATGTATATATATATATATATATATATATATATATACAAAAACTTTCAAAGTTTACTAATGAAGAATATTGAGCAGCAAAATGTAAATCATGATGCATTAATCGATGATGCTTCAAATCTGTTTGGCAGGAAGGTGCAGGAAGGCAGCTGATCATGTCTCCAATCCTCTGATCAAATATGTGAAGATACTCTGCTATGACCTCAGTCAATAAATACAGTCATTGATGTTGTGTAATATGCAGGATTTGTACTCCTTATAAACTGCTAAGCTGTGCTATTGTAGCTTATCTGACCTGTTACAGAAATATAGATGGAAAAGTGAATGTAAATGGTTTTTGTTTTCTTTCACTCTTCGGAGCTGAATACTGATTCAATGCCAAACCATGTTCTGTTTTGCAACACAAGTTAATTTACTCATGTTTTTTGATGAAAGCTGCTTTACCTTCTAAAGATTAAACTTAAACTTTCAATTCACCATTTCAGCCCCCGCCTGTCTTCATCTGGGTGCAACTCCAAGCATTTTAATGCCTTTTATTGATTTTTTAAAAATCTTATATATCCAAGGGAAAATACTTGGACTGTGTTTATTCTTTATGAAAGTAAAAATATAGAACTGAAAAACATGAAATGTGTTGATTGAAATATGGAAACATTTATTCAGTCAACTGCACTTACAACAGAATCCATTTTTTCAAAATCACTTAAAGGTATAGGATATTGAAGGATTTTTACGAAGACCCGCCCTTTCCTTTTTAAAAAAAATGCACATGCACAACCCTGTACCCGCTCCTGAGAGGGAACGCCTATGAAACACATGTGAGAGCGTGCACAAGCCTATTTCTCCTTGTGCACGCTC